AGGCAGCAGGTTTAAAACAAACAAAAGACCTATTTCTTCACACAACGCACTGTCAACCTGTGGAACTCTTTGCCAGAGGATGTTGTAAAGGCCAAGACTATAACAGGGTTCAAAAAACAACTAGATAAGTTAATGATGGATAGGTCCATCAATAGCTATTAGCCAGGATGTCCAGGGGTGCAAAACCATGCTCTGAAGTGTCCCTAGCCTCTGTTGCCAGAAGCTGGGAATAAGCAACAGGGGATGGATCACTGGATGATTACCTGTTCTGTCCATTCCCTCTGAAGCATCTGGCACTGGACACTGTCAGAAGACAGGATACTGGGCTAGATGGTCCATTGGTCTGACCCAGTGTGACTGTTCTTAAATGATACCAAACCAATCTAATTTCCTCTTTGACAGAGTTACTGGTCTAGTAGCTAGGGAGAAAGCAGTAGATGTGATACATCTTGTACTCCTGATGCAGGGGCGGGCAAACTTTTTTGGCCTGAGGGCCGCATCGGTTTTCTGAAATTGTATGGTGGGCCAGTTAGGGGAGGCTGTGCCTCCCCAAACAGCCAGGCGTGGCCCACCCCCATCCAACCACCCCTTCTCCCTGACCACCCCCAGACTCCCCGCCCCCATTCAACCCCCGTGTTCCCTGCCTTCTGACTGCCTAACCCCTATCCACACCCCCGCCCCCTGACCACCCTCCCTGAACTCCTCTGCCCTCTACCCAACCCCCCTGCTCCCTGCCCCCTTACCGCGCTGCCTGGAGCACCGGTGGCTACACCAGCTACGCCGCCCAGCTGGAGCCAGCCACACACTGCACAGCACAGAGCACCGGGTCAGGCCAGGCTCTGCAGCTGCACTTCCCCAGGAGCTTGCAGCCCCACCGCCCAGAGCATTGCGCCGGCAGCACAGTGAGCTGAGGCTGCATGGGAGGGGGAACAGCAGGGGAGAGGCCGGGGGCTAACCTCCCGGGCCAGGAGCTCAGGGGGCGGGCAGGAGGGCCCTGTGGGCCGGAAGTGGCCCATGGGCTGTAGTTTGCGTGCCTCTGTCCTGATGGAATTCTGCGCACCTGTGTAGGTGCAGAATTCTTATGGTTCACAGTTTTCTGTGCTCCCCGCTCAGAAAAATGCAGAAGAAATATGCGGGGGAGACACACCTCTTCCCTGGCAGCGCAGGCAGAGCATCTGTCCCAGCATGCCTAGAATAGCTGTCAGAGATGCAAATCACTGCGGGGGAGGGAGGCTGGGCATGCACGCCTGCGGGGGGGGGGGGGCGTTCGTTACCGTCAAGGGGCAGGGCTGGGCGCACGTGAGCAAACAAGCGGGAGAGACTCTGGCCTTGGCTACATTTGCGAGTTACAGCACAATAAAGCCGCCCAGAGTGCTCTAACTCACTCCCCATCCACACTGGCACGGCATGTAGAGTGCTCTAACTCCCTGGCTAGAGCACCGCTGGTACGCCACCTCCCCGAGAGGGATAAGGTTTGCTGCATATTGGGGGAGACGCTACAGCGTCAGTGTGAATGAGGAGTTACCTTACAGAGCTCTGATTGCCCTCCGGAAAGGTCCCATTAACTGAAGTGGCTTCTCGTCTTTGTTGTGAACTCCGGCAGGAATGCGGAAGTGGCCCTTTCAAAGCTCCGCTTTGGAGTGCCGGCTGCTTATCATCTCCGAGAAAAAAAACAAATAGCTAATGTTTGCTGAGAGAGAGAGAGGTGGGGGAGGGGTCTGTGCTTACAAGACAGCATGCTGATGCACTCTCAGCACCCCAAAAACCCACTCTCTCTCCCCCCACATACACACAACACACTCCACCCTACCCCCTCCCCATTTGAAAAACACACTGCAGCCACTTGAACGCTGGGATAGCTGCCCATAATGCACAGCTCCCAATGCAGCTGCAAGTGCTGCAGATGTGGCCCCGCCAGTGCGCTTTCAGCTGTCAGTGTGGACAGACTGGAGCACTTTCCCTACTGCGCTGTACGAAGGCTGGTTTAACCCAAAGTGCTCTACATCTGCACGTGTAGCCAAGCCCTCTGTCCCTCTTCCTTTCTCCTGCAGAGTGCCCGGCGTGGAGGGGTAGGGCTTTTTGTTAGGCAGGAGGCAGGCTCTGTCCCCTGAGGCAGAAATGTAACAGCCTGCCTGCCTATGTTCCTTCACTGCAATGAAGCAAGCAGCTGTTTTGCCAGGTTTGGAAATGCAATCAGCCAGTGCTATCCCTTAAATTGCCTGGAGGCTCACTTTATAGAAGATCACAGGGATTGGATTGAAACAAAATTCAGTCAGTTTTTATTTGAGAGGGGATAAGGTGTGGAAGAAGAAGAGTGTTCTTTCTGTGCAAAACTGTTTCAACGTTTGAAACAAAACACTGTTCTTGATGGGGAAAAACAACATTGTTAATGGTGCTTTTGATAGTTGATCTCATTTTCTGAGGCAGAAATGTAGCAGCCTGCCTGCATAGTAATGTGGTTAATGTTTCTATTGTCAGTTAACTGTTCCCATTCTCAGTCAATTACCCCAGGAGCATAAAACCTATAAACATTTTAAGGCTCCTTTACATTGCCAGAGTGATGTAAAGGAGCCTTATTATAAAGGACAGTAAGGAAATCCTCAACTAGGAAGATCTATGTGCTTTCTCACTTTTTTCCTGTGCCAAAGTGACACAATGGGGTTAGATTATAGCTCAGGATTTATTTTATTTTATTTACTTACCCATTTAAAAAAAAAAGACTTTGAGGGCAAATAAAACATTTATCAAGCAGTTAATAAAATGTCAGGACAATCAGAACCAAGCACTTCCCAAAGTACCCAGCCAGGTCCAGATGAAGTTACCAAATGACAAACGGATATTCATTCTTTTGCACGACATGAACAGCCTTCACATCATGCATCAAAACTGCTACACCAGCTTCTCGTGCTCGAGAATTCCCTACAAAATTGCATGTGGATGGGGACAAATTATTTTGCATATCCTGCAATGTTGTTCTCAGTCATGAGTGACTGTCTGTTATTGTGGATCTTTTTGCATTAAAAAAACGCATTATTTTGACAAATAAAATATGCAGAATTTTAAAATATTGTGTGCAGAATTTTTTTTTTTGGCGCAGAATTCCCCCAGGAGTAATCTTGATTTTAGTAAGGCTTATGACACAGTCCCACATGACATTCTCATAAGCAAACTAGGAAAATGTAATTTCATCTAGACTACTATACGATGGGTGCAAAACTCTTTGAAAGGCCATACTCAGAGAATAGTTATCAATGGTTCATACTCAAATATGAGGAACATATCTAGTGGGGTCCCTCAGGTCAGTCCAGGATCTGGTACCATTCAATATTTTCATTAATGACTGGGATAACAGAGTGGAGAATATGCTTATAAAATTTGTAAATGACACCTAGATGGGAGGGATTTCTAGCACTTTCGAGGACAGGATTAGATTTCAAAATGACCTTGACAAATTGGAGAATTGGTCTGAAATAAAGTCAGTAAAGACAAATGCAAAATATTACACTTAGGAAGGAAAAAAAATCAACTGCTTTCCAATAAGGCAGAGGTCCTGAAACTGTGGGGTGCGGAGGAACATTTGGGGGGGTGCAGGGGAGTCCAGGCCAGCCCCCTTTGGGGGTGGGAGGGAATGCCACCCAGCCCTGCTTCACTCCCAGCTCTGCTCTGGTGCTGCCCCCAGCTGTGGCCCCATGCCCCTGCACTACCCCCAGCCTCAGCCCCTGACCATGTCCCAGTCGTGGCTCCACACCTGGCCCTGGACTAGGCCCCCTTACTCCTGTCCATGCTTCCTCCCTCCTCCCGGGAGCCGCAGTCCCACTCCTGAACCTGGCTCCCAGGGGGAGCAGGGGGGCATGAACAGGGGTAAGGGAGGTCACTACTCTGAAAAATTTGGGGACCACTGCTATTAGGATAGTTAAGCTCTGGAATAGACTTTCAAGGGAGGCTGTGGAATCCCCATCATTGGAGGTTTTTAAGAACAAGTTGGACAAACACCTGTCAAGGATGGTATAGGTTTACTTGGTCCTGCCTCGGTGCAGGACACTGGACTAGATGACCTCTCAAGGTTCCTTCCAACCCTGCATTTCTGTGATTCTATAATCCTGTGAATACAGTACACAGTAAAAATAATAACAGTGAAACTCGGCCTCTCCTATACTTGCATTCTCCTGAACCATTTCATACACAATAATTAGTGGCCCATCACAACTCTCCAGGGAGTTGGACAACTATTATCTCCATTGTAGGGATGGGAGAAATGGACACAGAGACAGGAGGGGAAGTGACCGGCATTAGCTCACACCCAGGAATCTTAACTCTCATTTCCCCCACCCTCCCCTCTAACCACTAGACTACACTCCCAAAAGGGCATTCCTCAGAGTTCCCACATCTCTGGGGAATCTCCACCATTAATTCCCCAATCTCCAGCCGCCCCTACCATCCATGACTTCAGAGATGTCCAGTACACTGAGCAGTGCTCTGACATCCTGTTAGTTCAAATCAGCAGCTCTTCCTTCCTTGCAACTACAGCCCCAGAGGGTCCCTTGCTGCTTCCCTGAATAATATTCCCCTATCCCTACGCGGAGATGCCCTTGGAGCTGCAGAGACAACTCAGACAAGAACTGCAATGGGGCATTTTTACCTCTCCTCTAAATTGGAAAATATGTGTGTAACCCACAGAAATGTCTCTCTACCAATCCCATTGCCTGCTCACCCCAGACCCTGAAATCATCCAGCTCCTCAGTACCCAGCGTTCTGTTCTTTTCTGCCCCTGCCAACTATCCCCCACTGAAACCCAAACCCTTCATCCACTTGCTGCCCCTGCACAGACTGTCTATCAATGAAGCACATTTACACTTTGCTTCAGGAGAGCACAGACCCATTGTCCCATAGTGAGAGCTCCTGCCACTTGCTAGCCTGTGTGGAGTTTCTGGTGGGACATTAGAGAGACCTTCGCCTTGTAGCTTTTTCCACAGACATAACATTTATAGTTTCTCTGTGTTGTGTGAGCTCTCTGATGTGAAATAAGTTCTGACCTTTGCTTGAAGCTTTTTCGACAGAGAGAACATTTATATGGTGTCTTTCCACTGTGGGTTTTCTGATGTCTAATGAGGTCAGAGCTCCTAGTGAAGTTTTTCCCACACTCAAGGCAGTTAAAGGATCTCTCTGGCCTGTGCATTTTTTGGTGTGAAATAACGTGAGCCTTCCGACTGAACCCCTTCCCACACTCAGGGCAGTAATAGGGTTTTTCTCCCGTGTGGATTCTCTGATGATTCATAAGGTCGGAGCTCTGCTTGAAGTTTTTCCCACACTCAAGGCATTTATAGGGTCTCTCTCCGGTATGAATCCTCTGATGTCTAATAACAGCTGAGCTGTCACTAAAGTTTTTTCCACAGTCAGGGCACCTATAGGGTATCTTTCCAGTGTGCATTTTCTGATGTCTAATGAGGTGTGAGTGCCGAGTGAAACTTTTCCCACACTCAAGGCAATTATAGGGTTTCTCTCCTGTGTGGATTCTCTGATGTTTGTTTAGGTTTGAGCGTTCACTGAAGCCTTTCCCACATTCAAGGCAGTTATAAGGTCTCTCTCCTGTGTGGATTTTCTGGTGTGAAATAAGGGTTGAGCTCCGCTTGAAGCTTTTCCCGCAGTCGGGGCATTTATAGGGTTTCTCTTCTGTGTGCACTCTCTGATGCACAACAAGGGTGGAGCTCCGAGTGAAGGATTTCCCACACTCTGAGCAGTTATAGGGTCTCTCTCCTGTGTGGACTCTCCGATGAACAATCAGGGATGAGATGTTACTGAAGATTTTCCCGCATTCAGGACAGCTATAGGATCTCTCTCCTGTGTGGATTTTCTGATGCACAATGAGATGTGATCGCCGATCAAAGCTTCTCCTGCACTCAGCACATTCATACAGTTTCCCTTTAGTGCAGATTCCTGGCTGGATCATGTCTTCAGGAAGGTCCTTCAAACCTCCCCCTTGGTGAGTGGGTTTATCCAATCTCTCCCCAGGGGAGTTTTCCTGCTGCCCCTCTGGCCTGTGCTGATTTTTACAGGCTTCTCCCTGCTCAGGAGTCCAGGAAACTTCCCCTTCAGATCTTCCCGATAGCGTTCTCTGTGATTCCATTTGCTCAGACCTCCCTGCTGAGGATTCACCTCCTTGTTCTCACTCACCATCCCATCACCTGATGTGACAGAGAGACAATCCAGACATGAGTCATTCCCTGCACTGGAGGAAAGGGAATCTCAGAAAGTGGAAGACGAAAGGGAGAAACAAATTAAAATACCTGTTGGGAAGATTGAAAAATCAGTTGTATCCTTCCCAAAATCTTTCCCTAGCAGAGAGGTGGGGGACCAGCCCTGCCCCCACAGCCCATCCGAACAGTCAAAGGGAGGGAGCTACTCCCAGGTGTCAGCCAGGGTGGTGGGGAATTCATGAGCAACATCTGCCATATGTCTACAACACCTGCCTGGGACAATCCTGGGTGAGATAAGGCAGAACTGGAGGAGCTCACAGAGTTTTTTGTTCCCCAGTAATTCCTGCATCAAGCCCATACATTCTTGGGGAGCTAAAGTAAATTTTTTAGAAAGACTCAATTTCTGCTTTAAACACTTCCAGTGACAAGAAAAACCAATCCACACCATTTTGGATTGAATTTCACAGGCCTTTTCTTCCCAGGGGGAAAAAAACAAACAAAGCCTTTTTTAAAAGCTATTTTGAAGTCCTAGGAGCTGTTTAACAGAGATTTATTATTTTTTTAAAAAAAGAAGGCTTTTTCAAAACAAAATATTTCCTCCAACTCTGAATAACAATACCATTCCCCCCCCCCCCCCGGCTCCCTCCATGCAGGTAAAGCTCTTGGTAAGTATGAGTATCAAAATAAGTTAGTACAAAGTAAAATGTCATACACATGACTTGTTCATACTGCTCTATATACCATACACTGAAATGTAAGTACAGTATTTATATTCCCATTGATTTATTTTATAATTCTATGGTAACAATGAGAAAGTCAGCAATTGTTCAGTATCAATGTGCTGTGACACTTTTGTATGATTTTGTATGATTTTGTAAGTGAGTAGCTTTTAAGTGAGGTGAAACTTGGGGGCTATGCAAGACAAATCAGACTCCTGAAAAGGGTACAGTAGTCTGGAAAAGTTGAGCGCTACTGACCTGGAGTCTCCGGTTCAGGAGCCAGTGTGGGTAGAGCCCGGGGCTGCCCCAGGGGCTGGCTCCAGCCACTGGAGAAAGTCCCTCCTGCCTGGGCATAGAGGGGGCTTTAAGGAAGGTTCCCCCCACACAGACCCCACTGGGGGAGCAGCAGCTGCTCAATCCAGGCTTCCAGCTCACAATGGAGACAGCAGCAGCGTCTTCTCACACTGACCACCCAAATGCAGGAGCGGCACAATCTCTGAGCCTCTGTGACAATAATTATTATGTATTGCAGTGCGGAAGTGCCAAAGAGCCTTTAATTCTCCCTACTTCCTGCCTCACCTCTGCCAGCACCGGATACAACAACCGCTCTCAGCAACCCCTTCCTATGTCCCTGAATATCAACTCAGGCAGCCTGCAGCCCTCCCTGGGACCGGCTGTAACCTGAGCTTAGAATGTCTGTCTGCAGAGAAAGGGGTAGGGGAGGGAATTGGGGGTGTGAAATAGACTAAAGTTTGTCTCTCTCTCCAGCAGAGACCTGGAACAGAGCTCTGTGTGGCTCCAGAGCTTGTTTCTCACACCAAAAGAAGTTGCTCCAATAAAAGATATTACCTTACCCACCTTGTCTCTCCAAACTCCAGTATAAGCCCCTTCTGAAATTACCCTACTTGCCCTGCCAGGATGCTCATCCGCATTTTGCTCCTCATGGAGCCCTCCTCTGGGGGCAAAAAGGGAAATTGGCTGCTTTGTTGTTACTGAGCAGGCTGGATGGATCTGAACATGCTCAGTAACATCTGCTGAAGCCTCTGCCCTTACTCGCAATCAGAATCTGCTATACACAGTTTTAAATGAGGGGAGAGAGGGGGCAAATTGGTGGGGAGGGATGGGCAGATTTTGTTTTTACAGGGCTCAAAATGTATCCAGAGATGGGTCAAACTGGTGGAAGGAGGGGAAGGGGAGGGGCAGATAGACAGAATCGGGGTTCAGAAAGGGGGGAATGCAGCACCAGACAGGGGCGGAGGGGATAAAAAAAAGTTACCATAGGTGGGATGAGCCATCTGCCGTGCTTATCAAAATAGGGTGTGGGTAGCAGAGGGGCTTGTGCTCTTCCCTGGAGAGTCCATCTCAGCACCCTTTCCCCAGGGCTATGGTGTTAAAGCTGCAGTGTGGCTCAATGCCCAGTTACAGCAGCTCGTCTCTATCTGAAATGATTCACTGAGCTGCCAAAAGAAATCTGATTTCGTTGCTGGGATAAACCCACTCACCAAGGGGGAGGTTTGAAGGACCTTCCTGAAGACATGATCCAGCCAGGAATCTGCACTAAAGGGAAACTGTATGAATGTGCTGAGTTACCAGATAGCAATTGTGAAAAAACAGGACGGGGGTGCGGGGTAATAGGCACCTGTATAAGAAAAAGTCCCTAAAAATGGGACATCTGGTCACCCTAATCTTAGGGTTTGCCTACACTGGAAAATTTTACCAGTTACATAGGTGCAGTTTTACCAGTACATTTCCCATGTGGACATTGTTATTTCAGTCTAAGAGTGGCTTTTTTTCAGTTTAGCTTAAACTCTTTACCAAACGATATAAGCTAAACCACAAAAAAATTGTAAAAAGCCACTCTTATACCAGAATAACAGTGTCCACACAGGGAGTTACACTAGTATAACCTTCCAGTGTAGACAAGTCTTAAGTGCTTTTTTTGTCACCACTTGTGTGTGGAACTTACTTCCCAAATATTCATGAAGGGCACTATGCTATCTTCCTGGAAATTGCTCCTAAAGGAAAAATTCTACTGTAGTTTTACCAAACATAGATACATGGGTTGGGTTAAACCTGTCAAACTGTCTGGCCTGTACCCTTCATTTAAGATAGCTGTGAGAAATGGCTGGGCAGCCTCACCTAAGCCAAAGGGATATGGCAAGCCAGTCCAGAAGTTAGCACTATGTGGACAGAGGGCTACACTGGGTATTGTTTGACCAGAGGTAACAGAAGCAGCAGACAGAGCACAGAAAGATATAGCCTGATGAAGCAGCCACAACTCAACCCTGGAAAAAGCCTGGACAGAGAGCTTTTGGGGTGCTGTCTGAAGTGCTCTCCCTGAGCAAGGATGCTGTCCCCTGTTGTTTGATTCCTTCTGTGTTCCGGGAAACAGCACTTTGTACAATTGTAAATAAACAAAATTGCATCAAAGACTCCATCTTCAATTTCTCCTTCCGACTGGGGAAAAAAACCCACAGTGGTCTGAACTTTGAGTAGATGTTCAGGTCAAAATTGGTAATGCTAATAAACCCACTTCACCAAGCAAATCAGGTTGTATTGACATAAACAGAGAAACATCTGGATTCTCATGTAAGGGGAAAGTGGGTCACTGAGAAGTTTTAACCCTTCCCCCTTCCTGCTTCCCCATGCGGGAGAAGGAATCAGTCCAGGTGTTTTCCCTCCAAACCAAGGATTTCCTGACATTTAAAGGAGGAGGTTGGAAGTAGGAATAAAATCTAAGGAGCTTTTTCTATGAATATTTACTAATTAGAGCAAAGGAAATTGAAAATATTTTTGAACAATCAGAGAAAAATGAGCAAATTCTGGGAAGAATTTATATCAATATTTAATAAATAACTAGAGCATGTTGATTTCCCGTAGCCCTGCCATCAACATGGGCAGCAGGGAGCCCTGGCTGATGTGGCTTTAACACAGCACAGAAGGGGAATGGAGCTGGAAGGGTCCATAGCTGTTGGGGAGGGGGCAGCAGAATGGGCGGGGCAGGTGAATGGCAGCTGGTGGTTGTGGGGAGCTGGGTTGGGCTGTGGCCAGGAGTGGGCAGCAGCAGCTGGGATGGGATAACCTGGGTCTGGGCAGTCTCCTTCAGAGACCTTATTCTTCCCTTCTCCTCCTGGGCTACCCTGAGTGCTACATAGGGTGGCATTTTGTAAACATTTAAAAACTCAATTCCCCACCTCCCCTTCAGGAATATGAAAACAATCACACCCACTCCGGGGATTCTGCAAAAAGACTCCTCAACCTGTAGTTAATTGATACAACTTCCCGGACCCCCAGCTAGTCCTTCCATTACTTTGGGAATTGCTGCACTAGGGACCCAGGAAGCATGGAGCAGCCCTGGAGGGAGGGGAACCCCTCATTCTTCCTCATCCTGCCTTGTCTGGGGCAATAAGATGGCCAACTGCCCCATTAGCAGCAATACAAACATCATTATTCCTAATGGGGAAGGACCAAACTTTATTATGAACCACAAAGCAGGTCACTTTAATCAGAAAAATATCAGTTTCATCGATGCAAAGAGGAACAATTTGATTCCTTAATGTGAGGGAAAGTAGATTATTGAGTGGTTTAATTCTGTAACTGGTGTAAGAACTCAGGGAAACTGTTTCCCTCCAAAACCAGGAGAAGTTGCTGCCATTCAAAAGGGTGAATAATCCCCCAAATCTGTGAAGATTTTATCGCAGTATTTCAGAATTAGGTGGAAATTGGGAAAATCTGAGGCAATTTTATACTAATAACCGAAATCTACAGGGAAGGGGCAAAATTAAAGGAGATTTTAAATCTAATTCCGTAATTAGATGGGGAATACAGAAATTTTGAATGGATTTTATATCGATATTAGATCATTAGAGAGAAAAAGAGCGAAGGTGTTGTTGGGTTTTTTGGGGGGGGTGGGAGCTTACATAATTTCCGAGAAGGAAAGGCAAATGTCTCAGGGCAATTGTTTCCCTCCAAACCAGGGATCCAGGATCCTCTCTCCACCTTGTCA